CCAGGCGATGGTTATGGATAAATCCCCGCCTCAGAAAGATGACAACTCACGATCACAAGGGGGTGGACTTCATTTCACAACCCCTCCCCAGGCCCCTGATGTGCATCGTGCCCTCTCTCTGGTTCACACCCTGAGGAGGGACGAAGCACTGGGGCGCCATCACGCCCCAGGGGCATCGCCCCAGGCAGCACGAGGGCGTCAGCATGCTCCACGAGGATCGCAGAAGCACTAGGGCCACAGCAGCTGTCGAGACCCCAGGCCACATCAGCGCGTCACTCGCCCGACCTCTGGGCTGCGACCGCGATCGGATTGCGCCAGTGGCCGTCCTTGAACCTCATGCCGCCCTCGAGCACCGCGTGTGCGCGAAGCCAGTGGTAGCGCCTCCGCAGCTAATCCGAGAGTGGCAAGCGCCCTCGCCAGACTGCGGGATCCTCTGCCCGTGTCCGCGGTGCACCTGCGCCGAAGCCCCAGCGGGAAGCCGCTGCTGCATCCCTCGCAGACGCAGCTGGAGCGACTGCTGCGGCTACTCCCACAGCCCCACCTCGAAAACAAGCGCAAGCTCTTCCCACGACGCGGCGGCGCCCAAGGACCCCCCGAAATTGCCCGCGCCGAAAATGGCAGCTACAAACATGGAAATCTGACCACATGGTCCGGGATTCGCGCGTCGGCCATAGGCGGCGCGCACAAGGGGGTGGAGGGAGGGGGGAGGGCTTCTTAGAAGGACGCTGCTTCTTAGAAGGCGCCGGCTTTACGTCTATAGATACGGCCCGCGCCTTCGAAGCAGGGGTGCTTCTGAGAAGCCCTCACCCCTCCCCCCACCCCCCCCGTGCGCGTGGCTGAGGCCAACACTAGAAAACTTGCGTATGATTCCGAGGAGGGCTGCAGGCCCGAGGTCCGTGGCCCTGGAGGGCCAGAGCCCCGAGAGGGCGCGCTGGCAGCCGCGCGAAGACCTGCGCTCCCCGCCGACGGAATGGAAGGAGGGGGACGAGGGCAAGCTAGGTGCGCTCGCGTCATATCTGACGTCCTACCCCTCCCTCCCATCCCTTACCATGGCGCTGATTGTCTCTATCCGCGGACGCGTGTCGTAGCGGACCTGTGGCTCCGCGCGCGCGTGCGTAGTGGGTGGTGGTGCACGTGCGTGCGTGCGTGCGTGTGTGCGTGGTTGTCGTGGTGGTGGTGGTGGTGGTGGTGGTGGTGGTGGTGGTGGTGGTGGTGGTGGTGGTGGTGGTGGTGGTGGTGGTGGTGGTGGTGGTGGTGGTGGTGGTGGTGGTGGTGGTGGTGGTGGTGGTGGTGGTGGTGGTGGTGGTGGTGGTGGTGGTGGTGTGGTGGTGGTGGTGGTGGTGGTGGTGGTGGTGGTGGTGGTGGTGGTGGTGGTGGTGGTGGTGCGGCGCGGTGGTGGCGGGCGGATGGGCGCGCGAGAAAAAGGCCCGCGCTGGGGCGAGAACGCCATCCTGAACGACGGAGGCCAAACACCGATCCGAAAATGAGGCCCACGCTGCAGCGGGAGCACGATTCGGAACGATTCGGGAGATTCGAGGAGCAGAAATGAGGCCGGCGCCTCAACGAGAGCAGCATCTTGGGAAAAAATGACGCCGGCGCCTCAGCGAGAGTCGTTTCCCGGGATTTCCCGGGAATCCTGTAAAAAACAGTACGCGGAGGGTGCGCGGCCATCACCCGGACGCCATCAGGGGAAGAGGGAGAGTATTTTCATATTGAATAATTGTGGAGGAGGAGGGGGAGGAGGAGGAGGAGGAGGAGGAGGAGCGAGGAGGAGGAGGAGGAGGAGGAGGAGCAGGAGCAGGAGCAGGAGGAGGAGAAGCAGGAGCAGCGAGAGAGAGGAGGAGGACGAGGAGGAGGAGGAGGAGGAGGAGGAGGAGGAGAAGAAGGAGGAGGAGGAGGAGCAGGAGGAGAGGGGAGAAGGAGGAGGAGTGAGGAGGAGGAAGGAGGGGAGGGCGGGGGAGGGGAGGAGGAGAGGAGGAGGAGGAGGAGGAGGAGGAGGAGGTAGGAGGAGAGGAGGAGGAGAAGGAGGACGCGGGAGGAGGAGGAGGAGGAGGAGGAGTAGGAGGAGGAGGAGGGGAGGAGGAGGAGGAGGGGGGGGAGGAGGAGGAAGAGGAGGAGGAGGAGGAGGAGGGAGGAGGAGGAAGGAGGAGGAGGAGGAGGAGGAAAAGGAGAAGGAGGAGGAGAAGGAGGACAAGGAGGAGAGAGGAGGGGGGGAGGAGGAGGAGGAGGGAGGGGGAGGGAGGGGGGAGGGAAGGAGGGCGAGGAGGAGGGGAGGAGGAGGAGGAGGAGGAGGAGGTAGGAGGAGGAGGAAGGAGGAGGAGCAGGAGCAGGAGCAGGAGGAGGAGGAGGAAGAGGAGGAGGAGAAGAAGGAGAAGGAGGAGGAGCAGGAGCAGGAAGAGGAGGAGGAGCAGGAGGAGGAGGAGGCGGAGGGAGGAGGAGGAGGAGGAGGAGGAGGAGAAGAAGAAGAAGAAGGAGGAGCAGGAGCAGGAGCAGGAGCAGGAGCAGGAGGAGGAAGAGGAGGAGAAGGAGGACTGCGGAGGCGTCCAGCACATGCAGCTCTCAATCCTGGGCCTCCTCTCGCAGCCCGCCAGGGGGCCCGGCGCCCTGCCTGGCATCGCCCTCGCAGACGGGCCCTCAGACCCAGCACAGTTCAGCGGCAGCGGTGCATGCGCCACGCCCTCCCGGCTTGGCCAGGAGGACGTATGTATACACAGCTCCTGGGTTCAGGATGGGCCTGGCCAGGGAGAAGTGGATATGCATAGATTTCGTCGCCCGACACAAGAGACCCAACTCTGAGCCCCCAGAACGTCCATTGATTTTTGGTGTGGGAACGCCACGCTTTCCATCGCAGAACCATCGAAGCCCAAGAGACCCAGAGTACCCTGGAGGCAAACAGAGTGCTTCCTGGCATGGGCTTCCACTGTAAGACAGGAGAGCTGCCCCGCCTTCTCTGGGATGCAATCGCGAGGGGCAAGGATAGGGGGGAACTGGCTCAGGGGGGGAGGAACATCGACTTGTCGACTTGGACTCAGCGATGTGTAGCCGATAGATCGGCGATGCGCCCCCGATAGCAAATCCGCACGGTCCTGAGGGGGGGAGGGGGGGGGCAATCGGACCACTACAGGCGATGAATGGGCGATTGGGGCTCGATGCATCCCCCACTGAGCCTATCACACCCAAACGTTGCCCCTGAAATCGGACGGCACGACGATGGGTAGCGAGACTGCCCGCAGCAGTGCCCGCCCTCCTCTGGGCGATGACGCCGCAGCGTGAGGGTGCCACCTGGCAACCCCGTGCGAACCGCCAGGACGCGTGCCTCGCGGCAGCCTGCAGGCGCGCGACTGCCAACCCAGGGCAGCTTGGACCACCGGCGCTGCACTACGATGCGACCGCAGCTGGCGACCAGGTCTTGTCGGCTGCACACAACAGGTGACCCCAGGCATGATTGACCTTTGGTGCGTGGCTTAACGGGGGACGCGGGGCGGCCAAATCCAGGCGCGCAAGCCGCTGCTACCGCTTCGCGATGAGCGATCTGTGGACTCCTTTGGACCGCACCGAAGGTCACTCCAGCGAAAGGACACTGGTCGATCTTGTGCGGCCTCAGATCGATCAAGCCTGGAGCAGCGGACACGCCGCCCGGGGGCATCGCCCACGGAGCGGATGCCGTGTCGCAGCGGCTGCATCACACCGCCCATTGGCAGCGCCTCCAGAGCTTCAGCGCCCCTGGGCTGTCACGGCGCCGCGCTCCACCAAGGCACGTGGCCGTCAAAGACAGCCTCGAGCTGATCTACATGGTAGACCTCCTCCTGCGCTGGCTCACGACACGCCTGCGCGCCGCTACCCCTTCGGCTACCTTTCATGCAACAGGCGGCAGCGCACGCGGAGAGAAGGCTGCGGACCTTCAGACTCCCATCGCTTACTGCCTCATGCGCAGCACCATCAGATACGTAATCACCCTACTCCCACAACTGCTTGCCCCCCGTCTTCCGCCGCCTCCCTTTTCATACGTTTCTTCAGACTCCTCCTCAGCATCCTCCTCTTCTTCCTCCTCCTCCTCCTTCTCCTCCTCCTCCTCCTTCCTTCCTTCCTTCCTTCCCTCCTTCCTTCCTTCCTTCCTTCCTTCCTGCCGTCCTTACTGCCTTCCTTCCTTCCTCCTCATCCCTCAACCTCCTTCTTCTCCTCCTCCTCCTCCTCCTCCTCCTCCTCCTCCTCCTCCTTGCGTCCTGGCTTCCTTCCTTCCTTCCTTCATCATCCTTCTCCTCATCCTGATCCTCCTCCTCCTCCTCCCCCTCCTCCTCCTCTTCCTTCTCCTCCTCCTCCTCCTCCTCCTCCTGCTTCTCCTCCTCCTCCTCATCCCTCAATTCCTTTACCTAATAGCTAACTCCTCCACGTCACACCCCGAGGCCAAGCGAAGGAGCGGGCTGGGCGTTTCGCATGAGACATCCCGACCATCAATGATCCTGAAGTTTAACCATCTGCAACAGTTTCACAAATGAAGGGCGGGTGGTTTTCAATATGTGGCTCTTGCCTTAGCGCCGCGCACATGTGTACAAAATGCTAAAGCGTCACGGATTGAGAACTGCTCCTTTTCAACAAGTGGCTCTCGCCTTAGTGCCGCGCACATTCGTCTGAAACAGTCACGATAATTTCAACGAATTCCATGGTCGACGCGATCAGGACAGTCAGGATCTCGTCGCGATGCAATCCTGAGTGTGCTGTCTGGGCACGCTTCGGGATTTTCACACGGATGTCCCCCAACGGGAAAGTTCCCTCAGTGGAAATGACCCCGTGTAGGGGCCTATGAAGAAGGAGCTTGGAGGGAAGGTGTATACCAACGTCGTTAAAGGGTCTTGAAATTGCACTGGCCCTCCTCCTTGTCCTTCTCCTCCTCCTCCTCCTCCTCCTCCTCCTCCTCCTCCTCCTCCTCCTCCTCCTCCTCCTCCTCCTCCTCCTCCTCCTCCTCCTCCTCCTCCTGCCCCCCTTTGGCCTCCCCGCCCCTCCCCGGGCTGCTGCGAGAGGAGGTTGTTGACCACCCCGAGCACACTCTGCACGGACTGGTTCGGGTTGGCCGCCCCCACCACGTGGACCACAGGGGGCCTGCCCACCCACCTCCCGCGCGCCGACCCCTCCCTGCGGACCGACCAGGAGTCCCGCTGCCGGCGCATGCCGCTGCGCGGGCCTCTCCTCTCCCGGCGGGGGAGCCCTACTGGGGCCAGTTTCACGCGCACATGCTGCCGCCTGCTCGCAGGTGGACGCGCGCCCCGGCCCCGGCTGCGGCTCGTGACCGTTCTGGCCGGGCAGGGTTCCCTCCGCCGCCGGAGGTGTCGCCCAGTGCCGTTCCTCCTCCTCCTCCTCCTCCTCCTCCATTCCTCCTCCTCTCCTCCTCCTCCTCCGCCTCCTCCCGCCTCCCATCCTCCTCCTCCTCTCCTCCTCCTCCTCCTCCCCTCCTCCTCCTCCTCTCCTCCTCCTCCTCCTCCTCCTCCTCCTCCTCCCTCCTCCTCCTCCTCCTCCTCCTCCTCCTCCTCCTCCTCCTCCCTCCTCCTCCTCCTCCTCCTCCTCCTCCTCCTCCTCCTCCTCTCCTCCTCCTCCTCCTCCTCCTCCTCCTCCTCCTCCTCCTCCCTCCTCCCTCCTCCTCCTCCTCCTCCTCCTCCATTCCTCTTCCTTATAAACAGCTTCTCCCTATCGCACCCCGAAGCCAGTGTTTAGGGCAGGCCGGGCGTTTCGCCTGAGACATCCTCACCATTGAGGGCTCTGCAGGTCAAAAAATGGCAACAGCTTCACAAATGGAGGGCGGGACGTTCAAAATGTGGCTCTCGCCTTAGCGCCGCGCACATTCGTTTTTTAAATTTGCGAGAGTTTCACGGATTGCGGGCGGCTCCTTTTCAAAATGTGGCTCTCGCCTTAGCGCCGCGCTTATTCGTATCCAAAACATGCACGAGCTTCACGGATTGAGGGCGGGTGGTTTTCAACGTGTGGCTCTCGCCTTAGCGCCGTGCACATTCGTTTTAAGAAGCCGCCCTTGTGAACTTGCACCTGCTGCATGCTTTGCTTTTTCTGGGGAGCCTCGCACGAACCACAAGTGCAATCACAAGCAGCCGACCGCGCTCTGAGCCTGACACACTGTTTCCACCGTCTGCTGGGTGGGTGGGTGGTGCTGTAAAAATCGGACTTGCTTCAGACGGCTATAGCACGAGATTAACCTGGAAGTTCGACGCGCTCGCACCGGCACGTTGCATGCGCAGCAAGATTTGCAAGAGCTTCACGGATTAAAAGCGGCTCCTGTTCAAAATGAGGCTCTCGCCTTAGCGCCACGCACATTCGTTCTAAAAATGTCCAAGAGCTTCACGGATTGAGGGCGGGTGGTTCTCAACATGTGGCTCTCGCCTTAGTGCCGCGCACATTCATTTTAAACATTTGCAGGAGTTTCACGGATTCACATGATCAACGCACCAGAAATGGCGTTTGGAAGGATTCAGGAAAATGCGAGTGCAACAGTTATGTTGACTGGCGGTGCTGAAGTCCCAACAATGGCGTTATGGCACGATTCTGGATCGTCAAGACGCAGCAGTCAGGTTGATCCATGACGCTGAAATCCCGAGAACAATGTTTTGGCATCCTTCAGGGTATTCAAACGGTCGTCTTCCAACGAGGCAGTTCCCTCAGTGGAAAGGAACCGCTGTAGGGGGCTATGAAGAGGAAGCTTGGAGAGAGGTTTAATTCCAACATCGTTGATGACTCTTGGGATTACACTGGTCCTTCTCCTCCTCCTCCTTCTTCTCCTCCTCCTCCTCCTAATGGGCACGGGCGGGCTCCCCAAGGGACCACACACGACTCGTGTGTTGGCTTCGCTTCGCTTCGCTTCCTCCTCCTCCTCCTTCTCCTCCTCCTCATCCTCCTCCTCCTCCTCCTCCTCCTCCTCCTCCCCCTCCTCCTCTTTTTTTTGGCAGCAACGCCGCGGCCTCTGTGCACAGTGCTTGCTCAACCAGCCCAGAGGCGCAACTGGCAGGCACGGAACCTGCACCTTACAGCAGCGGGATGAATTCGTCGATGTCGACGAACACACCCTTCTTATCAGGGTGCAGGCCTCTACGGAGCGTACGCATGTTCTTCACACCAGCCACCGTAGGAGGGGCGCACTTACGCCCAAGGCCTAACACAACTCCACCGCTGCTATAAAAATTGCACGACATGCAAAGGAACAGGTGAGAATTATCAGTGCATGGGAACGCGATCACCCTATGCCCGAGACGCTCCAGAACACACCTGTCGAGCCTGCTGCGGCCCGCACACTCCGAACCGCCACACGGCCAGGAAGAAGCTCTGGAGCCTCGCAAACACACACGGCACCTCCAAAAACTTCCTTGGCGTTCCCAATCGTGCTCAAGCGTGAGCCGAGATGAACTCGGTGGCTTCGGCGGCTGGACCCGCACTAAGCCTCGGAACTCGACTTTGGGCCAGAGCGGGAGCAACGCTGCTCCGCCCATCAGCACGGCCCTCGCAGTCTCTAGCGTGCGACTTAAATCATCAGCCTCCGTCGGCGTCATGGTCGGGTGGCGCCTAGCACCCTCATTCGCCGCGACGTCGGCATACGCGTTACCCAACCTCCGAAAGCGCTCCTCCGCCGACAAACCCTCCTCCTCCACATCTCTGTGGGCCGCCACTTTGTGGAAGCCCTCGCAGAAGCGGCCAAATGGTGGCGAGCTTGAATGACAAAGCCAGCATACTGTCGGGCTGGGCCTATAGCCTCAGCGCCTCCAAGATTCTGCAGCAGCACCACGTTAGCACAATCTGAGTAGCACTGAGCTGGGCCCTCTGTATACAACGCCGTCCAGGCAAGGGCCCCGAATTCAGCAGCCTGGGGGGTCTGGGGCCAAGGAGCCCAGAGGGGGCCTTTGATAACCCCGAGCAGCTCCCCAGACTCCGAGACCATGACAACAGACCACCCCGCCCTAGACAGCTCCCTAACCTGATGCTTAGTACAGGACCCATCCATGAAAATGTGCCCCCAGACGCCGCCCCTGGGAACGATGGAGGGGGGCGAGCCTGGCCTGGCAGGATCAGGGAGCAGGTCCGCATACCACTCCACCGTGACACCGTCGGGCGAGATAGCAGGCTTGGGAGCCCAATCCCCAGGATGTCTAAACGCACCATGAAGCCACAGAACTCGAACCTCGGGGTCGTTCTCTGGCACCTCAAGCGCCGCTTGCTGGATCCATTTCGGCATGTGCTCGCCCCGCTCGGCCTGCACGCACGGGCACACCCAGAGGCGGTGAAACAGGGTGTCCTTGGCGCCGCAGCCCAGCGGGCACAAGCTGGAGATGGGATAGCCTAGGTCAGCGGCGTCGCCTGCAGTCCAACAGGCATTGGTGGCAAGAGCACGGATCACACCCTTCTGAACCCCAGGAATTTGCTTGGAAGCGAGAAGCCTCTTCGGAACGCCCCAGCAGAGACGAAATCCAGCCCGAAACTTGCCCCCCGACTCCCGCTCGAGACTCCTAAAGGCCGCCTCCTTGCAAAAAAGCTTCACCAGCTTGGGCGGCGACAGCGTAAGAGAAATCTCGCGACCGAAATCGCCAACAAGGGTTGTGAAATTGGACATGGTCCACCCAAGCCTGTACAACGACATTCTCAGCCCCGAGATGGGTCCCGAAACTTTGGCCCAGGTCCAGTCCTCCTTTTTGACAACAGAACACCAAACAGCCCGAAGTTCAGCCCAACTCAAGGCCCACTCAAAGGCCCTCGTCTGACGAATCCACACCTCCTTGGCCCAGCGGATGATGGGGGCACAGCTGGCCCTCCACGTGGGGCCCCCTTCTAAAAGACACAGAACCGAAAGGGACCTTCCCTGGGCAGAAGGTTTCACGCACGACATGGCCATGCGTCGAAGCGACAGCAGCTCGCGGTCAGAGACCCCGTACACGTCCGACCCGTAGACCGCCCCCGCAAGGGGACCCGAAGCGAAAACCTTGACCACCTTGCGGCCCAGCGTGGGGCCCAACTTCCCGAGACGACGAGCTTTCCTGAGAGCCGCAGCAGCCCTCTGCTTGACTTTGGCACTCCTGTTCTTCCCAGGAGCTCTGACCGCTCTGCCCGCAGTGTAATCCACACCGAAGTTGGTCACGCGAGTGCAGGCTGGATCGCCGACTAAGCCCCCGAGCTCGGCAAAGAGCGCAGCCGAAACGTGCTTGCTGCTGGAGACCATGCCAACCTTATCCATTGCCAGCTTGCACTTGAGCGTCGACGTGATCGCAGAGTGCAGAGCTCTGGCGCCTGAAACTAGATGCGTCAAAGCAATGCTGGGCTTGCCATTCGCGCTGAGGCTTAAATCGTCGACGTACACATCAAAATCAGGTCCCCTCGGAATGGAGTCGAAAGCCTCCAAAGCAAAAACCCTAATAAGGCTCGTCGCGAAGGTGCAACCCGCGACGACCCCTTTTAGGGCGAAAAAAGGGCCATCGACGATTCCCCCCAAGGTCATGAATCTCGCGCACGAGTAAGCGTGAATGGCAAGGCGCGCGATGCCTAGGGGAAACTGATGCTGCTTGCACTTAGCCCAGAGAATGTCGAGGTCGATATGTTCGTAGTACTTACGCAGGCCCCAAAAAAATGAGGCACTAGTATGACCTCTGGCCGTCCCCGACTCCGCTCTGAAGGCCTGCCTCCAGACAACGTCCCCCGCCCCACGATGGGCCCCCGCCGCCCAGTAAGGGCGGCTGTGCTGGAGCTCCCAACGGAGAGCTTCAAAACGGCGGCACCTGCCCCAGACGCGATACCAACTCGAGAAAATCCCAATGGGTCGGAAACCCCCACACGGCTTGGCCATCAAAGCGACCAGCACCCAAGAGAGCTGGACAGGCAGGGGCCCCGTGGCCTCCATGACCGAGAACCAAAGAGACATGGCCATCAGAGCCTCATCAGAGAGCAGGCTGAAATGACGGCAGTGGAAGCCGTCCAAGCTGACAGCAGAAGCGGGCCGATATTTCTTGGACATGGCCCTGGTGATGTCGGGCTCGAGAGGGGGAGGGCATGGCAATAACTCCTTGCCGCACAGGCCCTGGCCACCACCGCCCCCCCCCAGATGGAGACGAACTTGGCCG